CTGAGTATGCAGGGGGAATCTGTGCCTTCAGGTGCCCCAGGGAGAGCTGCGTTGGGAGGGTTGCTGGGGGATCATGGGTTGGGCCCTGTGTTGCAACCAGCTACTCTCTCCTTCCCAGCCTAACGTGACCAAAGTGGTGGGCACTTCTGGCCCCAACTCCCCGGAGCAGAAGGACCAGACTCCTGCGGTGGACAGTGCACAGGAAGAGCCAGGTATGGCCTTGTCAGGGCATGGGCTGGTGAAGGGAAAGGGAACTGGTCATCTGCTGGGGAGGGGGTCAGGGAGCAAGCAGGGTCAGTGTGGGACAACAGTTTCTGTGCTGGTGGGTGGGGACCAGCACTCCCAACCCTGGGGGTCTCTGGACAGGCAGGTGTCCCTGCTGCCTGCCATGTCCTGGGCTGGCAGCGCTGCTCCAGCCAGGGGCTGCCCCTGGGAAGTGGGGAGCTCACCCTTTCCCCTCGTCCCCAGGCCCTTCCACCTCACAGGAGCAACGGCCAGCCAAGACCCGCAAGACCAAGCACGTCACCTGGGCACCACAGCTCACCCAGATAAAGATCATCCCGGCCCGTGAGACAACACCTTCCCCAAACAGAGAGAGAGGAGCGAGCAACCGGTACTCCGACATAGACATTGAAGAAGAGAGAAGAATCGCGTTTGAGGAATTGGTTAATTTAATAAAGAAATAATAAAAACGCAGACATAGCCTGGTCCCACCAGCCTCTCTCTTCCTCAGGCTCCCTGATGCGCCTCAACCTTTCTCCTCCTTCCTGTCTCTCTGCCACCAGGCTGAGCACATCGTGCCCCGTGGCCAGGACTTGAGGCTGGCCCTGGTCCCGTGGCACCTTGTGGGGCATCTCTGAGGATCTGGGGCCTGCTGTGGAACCAGGAGCAGCCCAGGGTGCGCTCAGGCCCTGGGGGCTGCAGAGCCCTCTGCCTCGGAGGGCTGGGAAGCCACAGGCACATCCCTGGAGAGCCTGGCTGGCACTGCTGGGGCTGCTGGTCTCGGGGGTGCCTGAAATCCTTCCAGCCGGCCCAGACGGCCCCTCAGGAGCAGGGCTGAGCCATGCCCGAGTGCCAGCCCCGATGGCAGGGCCCAGCAGAGCTGTGCCTTCATCTGGGCACTGGCAGATTCCAAGCTCATCTGCCCGCTTCCTCCTGCGGTCCCTTTCTCGAGGGGCAGCAGCAGGGGCTGGCCCACAGGGTTTCCTCTCCCCGGGGCGGGCAGCCCCTTGCCCAGCCGTCCCTCTCGGGCCCCCTCTGCAGAGCTGCTTTCCAGCCGGGCACCCCCGGCGTGTCCCGGAGCCCGGCGCTGATCCTGCCCAGGCCCGGCGGGGCCCTGCGGCCGGGCCGGGCCATCCCGGGCAGGAGCAGCCCCCGAGGC